TTAACAGCAACCCAGAAAAGGGTCCTACATCCTCTGTTCAGGGATTGATTCCTCCCGAGCGAAATAACCCTCAACCTAAGCCGAGCACTTTCCCAGGTATAAGATTCAGGGTTGAGGGTTCAGGCCTGATCTTGCCTCTGATTGATGTGACTCAGTCTTAGTGGGCCCCGAGGGGACACCCCCACATTTTCCACTCACCACTACATAAAGGCTCTATACACGCCCACCAAAAAACCGTAATAAAACCCTGCTTCCATTGGTTTCCATAAATCGCGGGACCCAATATAACCCCCCCAAATACTATAAGCTGGAGAATTTTACCGCCAAACAGGTACCACTAACTTGTGGGAACCCTCAACCCTTGATAAACCCTATATGAGCTGTAGTCTAAACTCCTAGCATTCCCCTTGATAACCCCTATCATAGTACCCTATATAATCTGCTATATAACCCTCCTTTAAGGAGTTTAGACTATAGCTCATATACGCCCTGCATCCCCTTAAAGAAACCCCCACTTTGGTCCTCAATCCCCATATGATAACTTCTGTATAACCTTCCCCCATGCCTCTTACACCCTATATGGTAGATTGTCAAAACTATGGTCCCTTTTTGGGTCCCTGTCTTATTACGGCACCTTATATTTAGGGTACCCAACAAGGGACCATAATTTTGACAACCACCCATATAACCAATAAAAACCTTTATGTCCCCTCTAAAGGTACCCCTATTTTTGGTTGTTGGCTTGGGGCTAGGAGGGGATTATAAACGAACTGTGTGCAGATCCAATCCTTGGGCATTGATAAGGTTTAGGGTTCAGGGTGTTTGGGTCGTTTCTGGTTTTTAGGGTTTAGGGTGTTTAGTGTGTTGAGTGTTGACAGTTCATTGTTTAGGTTGTTTAGGTTTTAGATTACAGGCTGTTTAGGGTTTGGGGCTTTTTAAGTCCATGCATCATACTGTGCCTGCATGACTTCAGTATGCTACGATACCATTCCCAAGGTTTAGGGGACTTAGGATCATGCAGGATTGTTCAGATGCACCTACTTAGGGTCTTGACGCCTTCAAAAAATGCCTACGGTGAGCTATTTGGGATCCCGGGTGCTTCATTTCCCTTCGGAACCAGCTGAAGCCTCAAAAGCCACAGGTTTGAGGCCTAAAGCGCGAAACGCCCTGAAATGCTAGAGCACACTAAAGGCCTTTAGGGCTTAGGGTTTAGGGGAATTGAAAGTCCCTTGAGCCCTAAAAGCTAAATTCCAAGCAATGTCACGCCTTGCCCGCATGCGACATGGCTCGCTTGTCTTGACCGACCGCAGCTAACACCACCTGAGGATTTCGGGTATCTGGGTTGCTGTTAAGGAACTTAATTTAAGTCACCATACTAGTTTTGGGTTCAGGGTTTGGGGTTTAGGGCTTAAGTTACCATAATATGGGTATATAGTGTAGATAATAAGGTTTCCTTATTATGATAGTAACTTGGTTCAAGTTCCTTAACAGCAACCCACGCATAGAGGCCCATATGCACAGAATACTAGAGAATCGCATGGAAAAGAACATTCGAAATGACATGGAAACTGGCGTTGTGCAGGGGTGTAGCTGTATTTGAATGTAGTGGCCTGCCTAGGCTTATGAATGGGCTACATTATACCCTGACAATCTACGGATTATACGGCGAACTTTGTAATCATTAGGGCTTGCGCAGTAATTAGGTGTATAGTCCTCCTTAAGTAGATAGAATATGTGGTATATGGGGCTATGATTACAATATACCCACAGCCATATTAAATCTACTTAAGGGGGACTATGGGGTTCGGGATTGCTACTTTTGAAATTCTCGACATGCGTACGCTCCAAATTCACACGGTTTGAGGGCGTAACATGTAGGAGTTGAGGTTCAGGTTGTGCGGGTTCGGCTACTACCAGCAATCATTTAATGTTCCATTTCTTCGCACCTTGATCTCCATTATTGGGGTAGTCTACTCCCTTTTCAATCAATCTTGTCTGATCCTCAGCCCTAGACCTATGCGCCCATGTAATCCCATATCTGAACTCCTAGTATCCCCCTTAATAGCCCCTACAATACTCCACAATCATCCCTGTATAGCCCACTTTAAGGACTTTAGACGAAAGCTCGTATAACCCCCTTTAGAGGCTTCACTCAAATCGTTACGCGCAGAGTGTGCGGGGGGTGGGAAGGGCTCCAGGCCCCAATATACTTTGAGGAAGGAAGATGCCCAGAATAGTACTAGGGTTACTAGCATAATTTCAGGCACTCTCCTGACTTCAGGGGTATTGGGCTGCCAGATTCTCTGGAGCTGAACATGTCGACCTGGACTAGTTTAGGGCCAGCACAACATAACCTAGGCATACAAGCAGGGAGCCGCATTCTTGAGACGCTAACCCCAACCGTAGCCGACCCGGCATGTGGGCTGAACCCCAACCCAAAATCCCAAACCTTGAGAACCTTCCAACCTCATGCAGTTCAGTGGGTTCCCCACCACCAACATGATCTGTTGGACCGCAGAAACTGAAATGGCATCTTGGACAGAACAGATTGGTAGTTTCCATAACTGGGGCCCCAATTTAGCTCTCTAATAGTATAATCCTCATTAATGGAACACCCAAAAAGGCACGCCTAATTCAGGGAAACCCCCAAATCACTCTGCTCTGGAGTCGAAGTTGTCTCTGCAGATTAGGGTACCTGTTTTGGGGGTCCCTGTGTTCAGGATTCTAGCTCTTCGGGGTCTATATCGGGGTCGCCCTATTCAAGGGAACTGCCATATGGTGGCTAGATCTCAGGAAGACAACATCTTCGCTTGCCCACCAGCATCTGTACTTGGAGGGTCATGGGGACTCAGTAAGGATACATATCACCCTCGCAAACCCTCATATGAGCTGCAGCCTAAAAACTCCTAGTATCCCCCTTAATAACCCTATAAAAATCCCCTATGTAATCCTCTATATAACCCTTGTTTTCCACTCTAGACTCTAGCTCATATAGTAAATTGAATTATCTCCATTACCAGCATCCTTGCTAAGTCCTCCTGACTCTCTTCTGGGCATGAGTCTGCTGTAAGTTGACACGAACGCACAACAAACATTCATATATTCAACCCCAAACCCTAAAGCCATATGAGTAGTTCCCGAAATTACGGTCCTATTTCGGTACGCCTAAATTTTAGGTGCAGTAATAGAACCTTCTCAAATCCACCTAGCTCCCCATCTGTAGCAGGCATTCATAGCCCTGGGGCCACCTCATGGCATGGTCAGTATTTACGGCTTAGGGCTTAGAGTAGAGGAAAAGCTCTGGTACCAAGATTGCACCCTGAAACATAAATCGCAGATCTTAAGTCGTGAGCGAACTACTAATCTTGAAGCCTAAAGGCTAAGCACAGCTCGTTACCCCACATTCTTCTACAGTATGTCTTATATATCGGATTCGGTCAGGGCGGTATACAGGGAATATAAAGACCCCAGTATGATTACCGTTATCCCTTGTGTTCATCATTAGTTGGTGGGGGCCTAGCCTCACGGTCACAGCGTAGCGCGTCACTGGCAAACTCCAACGCGTGACCGCTCCTCAAGGTCCAGGAGTGATTGTGGCTTGGTTTAGGGTTTAGGCCCTTCCCATTTGAGCTACAGTCTAAACTCCTTAAAGGGGGTTATATATGGGACTATATAGGGGACTACTATAGTGGTTAATAAGGGGGATACTAGGAGTTTAGAAAGTGACTCATTTGGCCCCTGTTATTGAGCTATAGTCTAAACTCCTAGTATCCCTTTCAATAGCCCCTAAAATACTCCCCTATACAATCCCCCATAGAACCCCCCTTTAAGTAGTTTAGACTATGGCTCACTTGAGTAGGGGTTTGAAGGTATGATGTACAACAGTTACGTTACTTTCTGAGCGTACGAGGACTATGGGAGTATGGGGCCCATGCAGGAAAGGTAACCTAACATTCTCCGGTGGTTACGCAAATAAAATTTTTGCTCATTCCCTACTAACCCCCAGTAAGGTTATTGCCTGCTTTCTGCAAACATCTTTCAAAACATGAAAGCTTTCTGGGGCCAGGAAACTCAAATCAAACCCTCCAATTTTGCACCCGGTTCTGATGAGTACCCTAGACCCTAACCCTAAACCCTAATCACTATAGCTTCGAAATGGGGATGATGCCTTGGGATCTTCCTTTTCAGGGAGCCTTAGCGAGCTCAAGGTTCGTCGCCTAAAGCCTTTTTTGCTGTTTAGTGTTAAGGATTGAGGATTTAGGGCCTAAATTCTTCTTCAAGAGACCCCGCAGCTAGGTAATACATCACATACCCTTAATAATCCTGTAATAACCCTACTGTAATCCTTTGTAAAGGCGCTTTCTAGCCCACTTGCAACCCCGGGGGCGAGAATACAATACCTAGTTTAAACCATAAAGCCCAAGCCCCAACCCTAAACCCTAAACACCTAAACCCTAAACCCTGAAGGCTTTGGGAGGACCCCCAGACGGACCCTCAATCCCACTACCTCATGCGCCATAATCCTTGTCTATCTACCCCCTGCAGAATTTCGTAATCCCCAAAATACTCGAACCTCAATAACGTACACCCCTAATTCATAAACCCCCTCTCCTGAATTGGGATTATAAAAGGGATCCTAGTACTACGGCCCTTGAGCGAAGGGGATTTATTAATCATGGGTCTACATAGAACATTAGGCCCTATAGCCGAAATAGTAGTTTCTACTTTCTTTTCCATTATCCTTCTATGACCCCTATATTCCTCCTATATTACTATATTCCCCCCTATATTACTAATCATGGGTCTACAAGAACCTGCCAGGATGCCATTAAGATGCCCTCTGATGCATGCAAGGAGCTGCTGCACGGCAGCAAGCACGACCTGCGCTGGACACTCCCATTGTTTTCAACAGGGCTTCGGACCAATTGACAAGGTTTAGGATTTAGGGTTTAGGGTACAGCCAAATTGAAGGTTTAGGGATAAGAGTTGAAGCTAGGTGATGCTAGTTTTAGCAATGTCCAGCCCCCCAAACATGTTTTCGGAACACTTGTCTACGTGAGCCACCAGTTTCTTGGTGAGATTTGGTGCTTATAGTCATCCTTGGGTAGGTAGAATATGGAATTGCCCAGCATCATAATGAATGACATCCCCTTATACGCCGAACCCTCAAACCCATATTCTATTTGCTTAAGGGGTGCTTATGTTACGGTTTGTCCGTCTCAAGAAGGGATGCAGATCTACGCAAACCTACTGCGAATATAGGCATTTTTCCTGGCAAATAAGAAAGGATGGGCTAGGGTGTAGGGGTTTAGCATTTAGGGGCCTCTATCATAATGAAAGCTGATTGTAGCATGCTGGTTTCCAGCCACAAGAGCATGCTTATCATGCAGAATAAGGATCCATTCTCTGCTGAATGGAGTGCCCCTCTTGGCCCGGATTTGTTCTTTTTATGGCATCCCGTGCTAATTTCCTGGTCACGTAAAGGGTGTGGTGTAGTAATAGGTTCTGCCCCCACCCTGAAACAGTCTATATCGAGGGGCATATTAAGGGCCATATAAATACATCGAAAGATTCTCCAACTCTTACAGAGTGGGTCAGTACCCGACCTCAACCCTAAAGCCTAAACCCGACCCAATTCTAACCCAAACCCTAAACCGCGAGTACAGGATCTCATGATCTTACGCTTGTCTTCATGGTGAGCTCTACGCCAAAACTCCGTCGCCCTTCCATTGGCGATTGGAACTCAGTGACTAATTCAGTAATTTCCATTTCCTTACCATCATTACTAAACAATCCGAATATCTCCCCTATACTTTCCATTATTACTAGACAGCCGCAATATCTCCCCTCTATAAAGCCTGCTATTCTCTATTATGACCTTCACCCCTGGACAGACGCTCGAGGATGCCCCGCAGCAACAATGCAGGCGACGCTGCTTGCATGCACAGTCGTTGCGTGTGCTGCTCCTAAAGACCTGCCGGGAACCTACGAACTAGTGTTCTGGGTTGGCCCCTGAAACCCTTTGAAAAATGTTAGTATATAGGGTCCCCTATTAAAGCCATTAATTAGGGAAAATATTAAATATTTCAAGGGCCTACCCAGTGTTCCGCATCCACGGTTCGACTGTCAAAGTCTGATGTACATGCTATGTGTCCTCATAGTGCAGCCGACATCTTCCGAGTTGAGGCGCCTAATACTGGGTTGCTGTTAAGGAACTTAGATTGACTTACCATAATGGGTATATATAGTAAATCATAGGGCTTCCCCAATATAGTAACTTAATTTAAGTTCCTTAACAGCAACCCGAAATGTTGTGCAGGGCTTGTAGCTTCCATATTTATGGGAACCCAATAGAGAGCCTAAAATGCCACGACCCAATTTTTTGGGGGACCCCGCGAAAGCGACTCCTTATTTATGTTAACACCTAGATTGTGGACTCCAGGATCACCTAAACCCTAAACCCTAACCCCCACTATTCAATTGGGTTGAGGTCCCGGCCTGGTACAGGACAGCAAGTTCGGGGGTTCCCAAAAATTACGGATCCCGTCTTGGGGTCCCCAGAATAAGGGTTATAGCGTAATGTAGAATTTATTGGGTCCCCCTGATAAGGATTATAGCAAAATGGATTTTTATTTTGGGGGGTCCCCCTCATCAGGATTAATTATATGAGAATGGATTTCTTGATTGGGGTCCCTATGTTTATGGGAGCTCGCAGTTGTACCGTGAAGCAAAGGTATCCTGCCTCGCGATCATCTTGCAACGTCGCTGACGCATACCTGATACATGCATCACTCTCACAACTGGCTTTCTTATACTTGAGGGCTTCCGAGATGCAAGGTTTGAAGCCTAGGATTTTGACTCTCATGTTAACTTGCAAACAGCGATGCCCTGTTTCTTGAACCCTTAACCCTAAACCCTCTAAATTTCACCCAGGCACTGCAGAGACACTCCAGATATGCGAACAGCTTCCAGAATGAGCTCCTGTTTGGAGGACCATGGGAACTTAGTAAGTATATCTACTTAGGGTTTAGGTTTCAGGATTAAAGGGTTTCGGGTTCCGGGGTTTAGAATTTAGGGCTTGGAGAGTTTTCACCCCTGTCAGCTATAAAGTAACCCTGTTATCCCCAATATTAACCTAATTACTGAGACCCCCGACCCTTCAATTTCTTCAAGGAATCGCGAGGCCCAGCACTCCGCCTGTAACCTCCTTCCATCTACCGCGTAAATGCTTTAGCCCCCTCCTACACTGTGAGTAGAGATACGAGTGTTGTTAGTCTTGCTAGAATTACAACTACTCTTATTATTTCGGTTACCATTCCTGTTGCTATGGTTATAGTTGCTATGAGAAAGGCGTAAACTCTAAACCGACATGGGTGGGGGCCGATGCTTGATCATTTGCTAGGCGGCACAGGACTGGGCGTGCCACACGGTTTAGCTGTTTAGGGGAACAGTAGCAGTAGCTGGAGCGATAGCAGCAGCCAGCCGAGCAGCAGCAGCCGCTGCTACATACTCATGATAGGATTCTTTACCATTATTACTGTTATTACTATTGTTAATGGAAATAAGATCGTTCCTATGTGATGGCATGCGGCCCGTCGTGGCAGCAACAGCAGCAAGAAAAGTGTGGCTACATGTAAATTATCCACATGGCACCTAAAGAGCCACAAGAACCTGCAGACCATTAAACTTCCCCATTCCCCTGGAAACCACTTCGAAGCTCAAAGTTTATTGACTTGTGAATCTCTCACAAAGCTTAACCAGGCAATCAGGTCCGTTAGCCCTACCCTTGCAACCTTGCGCGGATTGGAAGTCAGAGGGGTCCTTGTTATTCCGCAGGGACTCATGCGCTTGCCGCAGGCATTGAGCATCCTTCCGTTGCTGGGCACATTGGCGTTATGGATGCTTCACTCACCTGGCCCCCCTAAACCCTAAAAAACCAGGTTCCCCTGAATATCCCAAGGAACAGTGCATAGACTCGCTCTTTGCTTCAGGACCTAGATAACACCGACCCGCTCTTGGTTATATTTACATCCAATTTTGTGTGATCTCGACGCCGCACCCCGTAAGCTATAGGAGACCCAAGAAAGAGCTTGAAGCCTCAACCATAATCTTCTTTGCCTATGCTTACCTCTGGCTAGCAAGGAATGGTAATCCTCATATATTCCTCAATGACATAGCCATTTTCATTTTCTTTTCCCTTCCTTCACTCTCTGCTGACCAGAGGTAAGATGTGTAACCCTTATATCATCCTGGTTCCCATTTTGTTTCCCATGTTTTGTTCTATTTGACTCTCCTGTTTATTGGAGTCATATAAATATATACATGAGCCATAGTCTAAACTCCTAGTATCCCCCGTAATAACTCCTATACTAGTCCCCTGTATAATCCCCTATATAACACCCTTTAAGGAGTTTAGACTATAGCGCATATGTATGTATGTATCTATCCCAGGAGAAGTGCGCAACTTTCCGAGCTTACCAGGTCGCTCTGGTGGTGGTGCTGGGGTGCTGCTGGCAGTGCTGCCGGTTGATTCTAGAAATCCTGGGTTGCTGTTAAGGAACTTAGTTTAAGTCGCTATATTATCCCCCCATGATGGAAAATAAGATGGAAAAGAACTTGGAAAATGAAATGGAAACTGCGGGTGTATAGGGATTTAAGGAACTGGAACTAAGAAACTATATTGGGGAAATCCTGTTAAATACTGTATATACCCAGTATGGTAACTTAATTTAAATTCTTTAACAGCAACCCAGAATCCTGCATGACCACAGTATACCCCCAATACCATCATTTTCAAGGTATGAGGGGCTTAGGGGATGTTTTGTATCCACCGTGCTAGTGCTGGTGGTGCTGGCGGACCCTGAGCCCTAAACCCTAAACCCTAAATCCTACATCCCAAACCCTGAATCCCAAA